TAAGCAAATGGGCACGAGGGAAGAGTGCCCACAGGTCCAGCCACGGCTGCTGCAGGACGGCAACTCGGGGTTTCCAAGTCCCATCAAGCCTTTGCCTTCCAGCTGCATGGAGGCGGCCTTCGCTCGATGTCATGGGCGTGGATTAGTAAACGCTCGATGTGTAAGTCAGGAACTTGTCTCCAAGTTAAAATAACCTCCAAGTGAGGTTGTCCACGGGCACAGTGGCACACGCCTATAATCCCAGCACTTTAGAAGGCGGAGGCAGGAGGATCGCTTGAACCCAGGGATCTGAGACCAGCCCAGGCAGCGTAGTGAGACCTCGTCTCTATAAAAATAAAAATCAAAACATTACGTAGGGGTGGTGGTGTGCGGTCGTCCACCACAGGAGGCTGAGGCAGAAGGATCGCTTGAGCCCAGGAGTTCGAGGCTGGAGAGAGTTGGCATTGCGCCACTGTCCTTCAGCCTGGGCAACAGAGAGAGACCTTGCCTTAAAAAAATAGGAAAAGGCCGGGCTCGGTGGCTCAGCCTGTCATCCCAGCATTTTGGGAGGCCGAGGCGAGGGGATTGCCTGAGCCCACGGGTTCGAGACTAGCCCCGGCAACTTGGAGAGACCTCGTCTCTACAATAAATCAAAAATGAGCCGGGCGTTACCACACTCATGCCTGTAGTTCCGGCTACTTGGAAGGCTGAGGCGGACGGATCGCCAGAGCCCAGCAGGTCAAGGCTGCGGTGGCCATGAACGTACCGCTGCCCTCCAGCCTGGGAGACAGAATGAGACTCCAACTCAAAAAGAAAGGAAAGTGATAACACACAAAGGGTTGGGACAGCATCCCCAGGGTGTGGCTGGAACCTCGTCCGGAGACCAACCCTCCCCTTGAATAGCTGGACCGCGGTAGGAAGGACCATACCCCTCACAAGCCATGAGGCATGGGTGCATCTCCTGACTCATTCCCGGATGTGCCCCTGGCCCCAGTCAATGGGTTACAGGAAGCCTGTCCCATGTACTAGCTGACTGACCTTAGAACCAAGCCTGGCCGTTCTTAACTGTACAGAGAGAAAGTTCACCTAAGGCCCAGCGGAGAGCTCAGAGTGAAAGGAAGCGTGGGTGTCTTCTTCCATTCAGAGACCCACACTCACCACGCTCAAGGCTCCGGGCGACCACCACCCCTGTGGAAGCTGCCACAAAGCTGACCAACACTCTGGGGACACCAGCAAGGACACAGATACAAGCAGGCAACATCCTGTCTCTCCTGACCTTGGTTCTCCCTGGAATCAAAGCCTTGCTCCGGAGAGGCAGGCTGTGTTTTTTAACCTTTCAGACAAATCGGTCTAGCCTTGTAACCTTTGATATTGAGAACCCCTTCGTTCCTTCCTTACCCAGGGCAGAAACAAACGCCAGGCTGCTCCCTTCCCCTGGACCCCTCGGAGAGCCAGCACAAAGTGAGAGAGTGGATGGATTAGATACCATTTGCTGCCTACAGCTGAAGCCCTAATTAGGTGATTGCATAAAAGAAGAGAGGATATTCCGATCACGACATATTTTATTTGAAGGGTGGAAGTGAGGTCTGCCTAAATCTTATACAGCGCGTGACGACATCCGCACACCTGGATGCTTTTGGATTCCACAGGAAGGTTTCTTAAGGCCATTCATAGCTATCCCCATCACCCCCATCACCGTCATCATTACCACCAAGACCACTGTCTTCTGTCCTCTGGGTCCCTTGTATGTCTGCTTCTGAACGACACATGATACAACCCATGGGTCCCTCAAAACTTAAAACATTTGCTCACTGGCCCTTTATAGAAAGAGTGTCCGCCCGAGGCCCATGGAGAGAGGGGTTTTCCCCGAGAGCCCCGGCCATTGCGGGGCCCTCCTGGAGGCCACACCTGAGGGGTGGGGACAGCCACGAGGCACATGGAGAATGACACCAGGTCAAGCTTAGCCCACACAAAACTGGGAATGCAGATCACCAACACAAGTAATGCAACACACACACACACACACACACACACACACACACACACACACACACACACACACACACCCCCTTTCCAAGACTGTCTTGTCCAGTTATCTCGAGGGACCAAAAAAACATGTTTTCCCTGTTTTCAAGATAAAATATGCTTGAAATCTACTGGGGGAAATTAAGAAGTGTCTCTCCCATCTAAAGCAGTAATTAGGAAGCAGATGCCAGGACAGCTGTTGCGCCAGCCACAGCCAAGCCTCATCATGTTTGCCTAAGGCAGCTGAGCCACACTCATAAAATCACTCCAGCATCCCCGTGCTCGGTGCGCCCAGGGCCACAGCTGCCCACAAATCCCACCAATATGCTTTTCTCCAGGAGGAAGCAAGCTCTGCAAATGCTCCTGGGAGCCCAGCTGAAACGCAGCCCCAATTCCATCCGGCCTAGCTGCACCCTGGTTGGCTTTGGGGAGACACTGAAGATGGTAGCTGATGCCCCAAGAAGGTGAACCCAAGGGAGAGGGAGTGTCAGCAGGGCAAACAGGTAAGGCCTAATAGCCACCTGGTCCTGAACACGTTGCCCTGGCTGCTGCGTCTTGCAAAGGGCTGCAGAGGAAAATGTGCAAATAACCCTATCAGGGTCTCAGCAGAAGGCTCAACTAGGGCAGGGTATCGGAGTTGGGTCTCAGAGGATGCGTAGGAGTTTTCCAGGGCTAAGAATCCAGGAAGGTTTAACAGCTAGAAGCAAGGTGGGGTTCCCATGGGGCTTCCTGGATGGAAGGGCCAGGGGTGGTAAGCGGCCGTGGAGGGGCTGGGGAAAGACTTGGGTGTGGTGGGGGGTGGCTCGAGGGACTTTGTGCTGGAGGCCACAGGGAGGCACCAGGACAGGAGCACTGCTTTGGATCGGAAGGACCATGACGACGGCCCACAGGAAGGACCCAGCCACACACAGCCCCTCCCTCTGTTCCTCTAGGCGTAAGAGCCAGGTGCCACCCGCCCTGCTCAGTACAGGGTCCATATCCCACCCCCATCCAGACCCAAAGGGCCTTGAAGTCAGAGAAAGAGAATGAAAGGCAGAAGGGGAAGAGGCATCCTTCAGCCGTGACCTCCAGGAACGCCCTTGACCTTGGGCACCAAGGACACGGACAGTCTCGCCCCCACAGCAGAGCCTGCACCGGCCCGTCTCCCGTGAACCTGGGGCGTCTTCTCACCAACTCCAGCCCGAGGCCTCCCGGGCGGGCTCCAGCCCTCACCCTCACTCCCCGCAGGCCCAGCGGCCATGCCACCTCACCTCCCCCAGGTAGCCCACAGCGCACACGCTGCACCCCCTGGTCAACCAGGGCTCACCGCCCAGAGTGCAGAGCTCAATCCCCACAAGCCTCAGCACCTCCCAAACACAAGCTACCCAGGCTAGCCTTGGTGCCCCCACTTGGACGTACAGAAGCAGCGAGCTCTGTTGAGTCTGTCCACGGCGAGGTTCCGTGTCTGGGTCCACCCCCAGAAGAACCGAAAGCTAGGCCCTGAGCAGACACTTGCACCCCCCATTCACAGCAGCCCCGTCATCACAGTCACGGGTGGAAGCCACCCACGTGCCCATCCAGGATGCGTGGGCGGACCCCATGTGGCCTTTCCACACGGTGGAACAGCATTCAGCCTTAAGAAAGAAGGAGTTTAAGCCGGGCTCAGTGGCTCAGCCTGTAATCCCGCACTTTGGGGGGCTGAGGTGAGTGGATGGCCTGAGCCCGCGGGTTCGAGACCCGCCTGGGCGGTGAGACCTCATCTCTACAATAAATCCAAAAATCATCCGGGCGTGGTAGCACGCGCCTGTAATTCCGGCTACTCGGAAGGCTGAGGCGGAAGGATCGCCGGAGCCCAGCAGGTCGAGGGTGCGGTGGCCGGGAGCGGCCACTGCCCTCCAGTCTGGGCGACAGAGTGAGACTCCAACTCAAAAAAAAAAAAAAAAAAGGAAGGAGTTTCTGACACAGGCCACAGTGGAGAAGAACCTCGAAAACGTCACGCTCGTGACATCAGACTCTGAAGAACACAGGCTGTGTGACTCCGCTCCCGTGAGCCACCACGGGCAAATCCCTGGGACAGGAAGCACACAGGGACACTGGGGCTGGGGAGGGGTGGGTGTGAGAGTGTCTCAAGGACCCAGTCTCAGTTTGGGAAAAGGAGAGCATTCCGGAGGTGGGGGGTGGCGATGGCCACACAGCCAGGGGAGTCTAAGGGCCCTGGACTGCATGCTTAGAAATGGCTGAAATGGGCCGGGCGCGGTGGCTCACGCCTGTCATCCCAGCACTTTGGAAGGGGGGGCGGGCGGCGAGAAGACTGCCTGAGCCCAGGCGTTCGAGACCAGCCCAGGCAACTTGGCGAGACCTCGTCTCTAAGATAAATCAAAAAATTAGCCAGATGTGGTGGCGCACACCTGTAGTTCTGGCTACTCGGAAGGCTGAGGCGGAAGGATCGCCGGAGCCCGGCAGGTTGAGGCTGCGGTGGCCGGAGGCGGCAACTGCACTCCAGTCTGGACAACTGAGTGAGACTCCAACTCAAAAAAAATAATGAAGAAACGGCTGAAATGGTACATTTGGGTCATGTGTGTTTTACCATTTAAAGAACAAGCCCGTTGGGCACACCTGTCACGGACAGGGGTGGGAGGCTTGCTTCCAGGATGGTGCCACGGACGCCGTGGGGGCCCATGGCTGACTTGGAGGCTGTCAGCTCATCCTCGCCCTCGCGGCGCCCCAAGTGGAGACCACGGGTGGGGTGGGCGGGAGGCACCAAGACTGAACGAAGCCAGCACCTTCGCTCCAGGGGGTGGAAGTCAGTGAGTCAGTTCTCAAGGCACGTCCTGCGGTGTGGACGGCACAGAGACGGACACTCATGACGACACGGAGGTGGGCGCTCATGACACCTCCCTGGGCTCTGTCTCCCCTTCTCTGCGATAGTTGACAGTCTCCCCCGAAACAGTCACAGGCAAGGGTCCCCCAAGATGCCCCCGCCAGGCCCGGCATCCCTGCCCATGCCAGCCACTCACCTGGTTGTAGAGGGCGCAGATATGCAGGGCTGTGTTCCCCGAGGCGTTCTGGGCGCCCATGTCCGCCCCGTAGAACAGCAGGTGCTCCAAATGCTGGACGTGTCCGTACCTGCAGGCCTGAAACACACGCCACGTGTGAACTGGACGCCACTGCCACAAAGGCCACGCGCAGGCACCAAGACCCCCGTCCCTCAGCCCCTCTGCGGCACCACGGCAGCACAGGACTGTGTGGACCCCACTCAGCCACCCACCCACTGCCTGGCCTGGGTGGTCCCAGATGCACCAGCAACCTCCACACCTCGAGGCTCAGTGCCTGCCAGAGCCCTGGGTATGGTTGGAGGAGAAGAAACCTCATGGCAGGTCTTGGGACCTGCACTTGGCTGGCTGTGGAGGGTATGGAGACGGGACCTGAGGCTCCTTGTATTCAGATCTGGGGACCCAGAGGCCCAGAGACACTCAGAGACCTTCGCCCCCATCTCAGTTCCCCGAAACCCAGACCAGGACACCCAGTCAGGCCTCGGTGGTCCAAGCCCCCTCCTCCAGGGAGGCGGCGGTATTGGCCAGCTAAGGCCCTCGTGGCCCCTTCCCTCTGTGGTGCCAGATGAGCTCGTGTCTGTCCTTCGATGGCGTAAACGTGAGCCAGCCCCGAAGGAGACCGCAGGAGGGAGGAGCACGGCGGCCCCACGACCAGGTCGACCCCTTCCAGGTCGTGTGCCATTTTGAACCACTGGGCGTCACGCAGACCTGGGCCTGGGTCATGGATCAGAATGTCCACCCTGGACGTCTGTCCTACACACGTCCACGCGTGTAAACGGGAACAACACTCCTCCTCGTCGGGTTGGCACGAGAACCACCTGGGACAGGGACCTCACAGGGCCTCAGAGGGGGCCGGGCACCCCGTCAGCACACAACAAGCTGGGGGTCGCTCTCCAACCCAGCTTCTGGGGGCAGGGAAGTCCCCACACAGTTGAGGATGGCACCTCTGGGTGATGCTGGGGCTTCCACCTCCAACAGGGAGAAACATGGCGTTGCCTCAGGGAGGAAATAGGGGCCCACGCTGGGGCGGTTCGAGGCTTGGGTTTATGGTACGGAGACACCTGGAGGCGATCCCCCCTCGACAGGGTCTGGAGAAGGAGCCAGGTCGTGGCGGTGAGCCACGGGAAGACGGCAGGGAAGAAGCTGAAAGTACCAACTGCACGAGCTTCAAGAAACCACCTGAACCAGTCCCGCTACGCCTCCCACAGACCCTCACTCCGCCACAAAGCACATCCGTGCTGTGGGCATGGTCATGTTCGCCAGCCCAGCCCTCGTCCCCTTTTCCTGGGAACAGAACCTGTGATTTCCTCTGGGAGCTTCCCGACTCCATTCCCAGAGGGCCAGGGAAAGCTAGCCCCTGCAGAGGACACAGGACACAAGCCAGAGCCCTCAGAGGGGCTGTCTTCCCGGGTATGATTTAGGGATGCCCACGGGACCCCAGAGAAGCAGCAAAGTGCCCAGCTAGAACACGGGTCAGAACTATTGGGAAAAGCCGGGTGCGGTGGCTCATGCCTGCAATCCCAGCAACTCGGGAGGCTGAGGCGGGAGGATCACTTGAGCCCAGGAGTTCGAGACCAGCCTGGGAAACGTAGTCAGACAATATCCCTACAAAATATTCAAAAAGTAGCTGGTTATGGTGGCACCTAGACTCCCAGCTACTCATGAAGCTGAGGCCCAGCAGTTAGGGGCACTCCAGCTTGGACAAAAGGACTGTTTCTCTAAAACAGACAAACAAGCACAACTACTGGCAAAAGAAGCGTGGCCGGCAGGAAAATGACAGACCCCTGGGAGCTTCTGGGAACATTATCCCAGAAGGGAGGCATGGAAGGGAGGAAGAGAGGAAACAAGACAGAGACAAGGAGACAGACAGACACACACCTGAGGGGACGCTGTCTGAGCCCCTCTAAGTCACACTTCTAGCTGGGGCACGGATGCCGACAGGCTCCTGGGACTGCAAGGGGCTCTATTCCTCTGGAAGAGAGTTCCGGGATTTTTTGGGGGAGGTCTCCCCTTGTAAAGCTGGCGAAGCCGATCCCACCCAGAGCCAACACCACGAGAGATGGGCGTGGGGCCACCGTGTGCCCAAGAGGCCGCAGTGACCGGGCACCACATCATTTGAGACATTCCTGCCAGACGCACGCCCGATCTCTTTGCGGACAAGACTGAGCAAGCCCAAAGAGAGGGATAGTCAGCGACATGACTCTCCCAGCATCGTCAAAAGGGCCTCACTAGCAAGAACCAGGGAGCTCCCTAGATCGCAGAGTTCAGTGCAGGGGCCCCGATTGGACGCTTCTGCTCTAAGGGACCCGACGGGGACAGCGGGCAGGACGCAGCAGTGGCCCCTGAACTTGGAACAGAAACGGTCATCGACACATTTAGAAAGACAGCACCTTTGGGAGGCTGAGGTGAGTGGATGGCCTGAGCGTGCGGGTTCGAGACCCGCCTGGGCAACTTGGCGAGAACTCATCTCTACAATAAACCAAAAATCAGCCGGGCGTGGTAGCGCACGCCTGTCATTCCAGCTACTC